GTGAGAGTTGATTCACAGCTGAAGTCTAAGGGTACCTGGGAAAGCATCTCATGCAATTTTGAGAATGTAGAACTGTAACTTTATACCCACTTTCTTGGGAGTGAGCGCTGTTAGATTCAATGGATTGGATGCAGACTTTCCTTCCACCTCTAGAAGAGGATTGTTTTTCCTCTAGGCACTTGATGCTTTCTGAATTTTTTTCCTAAAGTATATTCAGAAGTGGATTTTCATGCTTTGGGGGAGGGGATCAGCAAAAGATGTGTTTTCCTTTTGTCAGTGATCTCTGTAAGATCAACTGCCTCTAGTGGGTAGAAGAATCCTTTCATTTGACAGACCACAAACTCAATCCAGCCCTTTGGAATTTACTCCTGAGTAGATTCAGATATAAATTGCATTATTATTTCTTATTTGAATCTTCAGTAGCATCCCAGACTATGGGATGCCAGACTTTATGACAGTGGCAGATTTTGTCTACTGACTTTAAATATTATTTCTAAATAAATGTGAAAACTGCCCCAAATCTCCTATCATTATTGTTACATTTTGTATTTTGAGACACAGGTCATTTTTCAAATGTAATACTTATTTTGGCCACCTATGACATCATATGAACTTAAACAATGGTGTCCACACTCAAAAAATTGTGATCCCTACTTTATGTGAATTTGGGAAAGACAAAAAATCCCTGAAGTTGGAAGGTGGGTAGTATGGAATCTGGAGCAAATATAAATATCTGTCTACCGAGTGTAATTTTTTTCTGTATGTACTGCATTGTATATTTTTCAAAAATGATTTACATCCAATGCAAGAGTATGTACAGCACTCTGCACTTCATTGATTAAAACTGATGTGATTCTTCAATCCTTTGTAGCACAGTAACTGTTTATAATGCTGTTTTCTCATGTTTCCATGTCCATCTCTTTTGGTTCAGTTTTGCATGCTGCTATTCTGTACTAGTCTACTGTACTTGCAAGTATAAGCATATTGGGTTGTGGGGTGTATGTATGTGTGTATACATACGCGCGCGCACACACACACACATATATATATATATATGAAATATTTTCTGGGCTAGTTGCTTCTGTGGGCTATTTTACATGTTTGGTATTGGGGCCTAAAACCAAATAATCCTATATTGATTTTACATCCTGAAAAGCCTTAAAGGCAGCAGTAGTACAAAATCAAGTGAAAGTTTTCTGTCACTGTTCCATTTTTTATTGTAAATGGTGTTTAACCTCTCTTACTAGAGAAGCTACACATACTTGCTTTCAAATCTATCTGTAATTTTGTTATTTAAACTGGACTGATACTTTACATTTGAATAAGAAGGACATTCTGCAAATGTAATCATATTTTATCATTGGAGTGCATGTAGTGTAACTGACTAGCTGCTTTGAAGCCCTTGTCCTTCTGCCAATAAGTGGCACCAAAGGTGTCTGTAGCAGAGGGCAAGTAACATTTCAAATCTACTCAGAGAGGCTATAGTTAGAACTAACATTCTCAATTCTTAATACAGAAACATTGGACCATGTTAATGAATAATTTGCTTTTGAAAAACAATCCTATTTTATATCATTTAAAGTGTTGGGAAGCAGTAGAAATGCGGGGGGTGGGGAGGAATAATCTTTTTTTCTTGCTGCTTTTCTGATCCTTCCTTCTCCACATAAAATCTAATTCATCTTATAATAGTTTTCATTTGTGCAGGCAAAATCAAGTTTCACTAGAGGGAGGTCCGTTTATCAAAACACTGCAGTAAAATTTTGAACTCAGGTTTCACATTTTGCAGCCTTTTGTACAGGTATCGAATAATTGGACCATAGTTGCAAGTGAATCTCTACTGTAAATGGTCTGCAGATAGCTACAGCATTCATGTCTTCAGAAGAATAAAGGTAGCCACATAGTTTTTTAAATTGATGGCATTTTTACTGACATTTCCATGAAGTATATGAAGGGATAGGGACTTGTATTTCATTTAAACATCATATTTTGCTTTGTTTAATCTGACTCTATTAATATGATGCTGACCTTTTGGTTCAGAATATGAATCATAATTTTTCAGCAGTGTCTGAAAGTGAGTTGAATTTTAAGGAGTACATGTGAAAACTAGACTTAAAATTTTTTGTTTTGTTTTTGCAGGGATGAAATGTAAAAGCTACAACATCTGATCCAAACATAGTGTTAACAGTGGACTGCTCATCTCCAATTCTTAAAAGCTTTTTCCAAACCAACAGCATTGCAGCTTGTTTTGGACCGTGTTACACTGTTATCAGCATGGAAAAGTGGTTTTGTTTTGTTTTGTTTTGTTTTAATTTTGTAGAGGTTTAATGCAAGTTTGATAATGAACTGATGGAAAAAATTAAATCTGGGCAAATTGTTTCCTTTTAATATGCCCTTATTTTCACCTGTTTAAGGAAGTGATTTATGTCTGCAGATATGCAGATATACCTGCAATTTATCTCCTTTTATTTTTCAATTTGGAAACTTTCTGAACATTTCAGCTCCGGTGTTTGTTCATCAAACTGCTTATCTGCACTTTCTTACACTATCTGCACACTTAAGATTTGTGTTCAGCTGACTCCTAGATCTAAAATGAGATGAATTTCTTCAAAGCTATCAGTGTGGTATTATAGACTAGCATGTAGCATATACAATCAGCTGCTTTTCTTCCCATTGAGGAAATCAGTCATCATGTATATACACTCGAAAGCATCAGCAATGATAACATTTATTTTATGTTGCTGTTCAGGATGGACATAACTGACATAGTTCCCCTCCTTTCCTTGTAGCATAGCTAAGAGATTCATAGCTGAGTATTATTTCTAGCTGATACATAGACTTGAAGTACCTGAGTGTAATATAAGAAATACTGTGTAAGTTATGTCCTAATCATTGAACAGTTATGCAGTGCTGCTTCGCCAAATAAAAGCAAAAGTAAAAAAGTGTGGCAAATAATGTGTTCAATAGAGATGCTGCTGGGTAGTTGAGAGGTTGCTGAAAATATTTCTACCAATAGTTCACTTTCCCCAGTATTAAAGTTCCCCTCCAGGGTGCTCATCTTGAATTGGAAAAACAGGTTCACTTATCCTACTGCACTGTTCACTGATCAACGAGTTTCAGAGTTTCTGGAGTGTCCCAGAAAACACCTGCAAATATTACAAAAAATAAAAAACCCAAACCCACCAACCTTTAACAGATGCTACTGGGATAGAAGTGTGTGCTTTATATTCAACTGTTACTTCATATGATAGTAATGTCAATTATATTGATAAGTCTGTACATTTCTAAAATAATTTCTGAAAAGTTTTATCTGTTTAGTTCAGTGAAAAATGAATACATACACTTACCATAAAAAGCACGCCCAGTGATTGATTTTAAAAGCAATTCAAATTTACTCTATAGCAGTAAGATGCCATTTGAAAAAACGAATGTGTTAATTCACCAAATATTTCAATTTAAAGTGTTAGTACTGTATCACTGCTGTTCTAATAGGGAAGCCATTTTTAATGTATTGCCTTGGACAAAATTATTTATTTAGGGGTTGAATAGAATAACTTTGAAAAGAACAAGGGTTTTTTCTTTTTCCTAACTCTTCTGAGAGAGAGAGAGAGAGAGAGATGCAAATTCTGCTCTTTCCCTAATTGAATAAAAGAAATATTCCCCCTCAATATTTTTGTTATCACCAATTGGGATGACAGAAACAATATTTTATTTAAACACCCCAGTGACCTTTTAGAAATAATTTCATACATTTAATTTATCACAGTTGTTTAACAGCTGATTTACTCTCATTTAACTGCTGTGATTTATGAAGCCATGTAACATTAATAGTCAAATATCTAGGATAGTAAAAAGTAACATGAAATACTTTGGGAGTAGCATCCATTGTACATTTTTCTAGAATATTCCTGTATATAATGCATTAACACTAATTAAATAAACGTTTAATAGTTATAGAGGAGTCAGCTTCGAACCTTACTTGAATTGTTGAAATCATGACTCCATATGGCCTTTATAAAACATGAACTAATACAGATTTGGGGAAGTTGGTAGGTTCAAGCATTATAAACACAGATTTTAAATTTGAAAGAACTGTTCATATTGTTAAGCAGTTCTGAGAAGAAATCTGCTGTGGCCAGTCAGAAATAGTCAGAAGGCAAAAAAAAAAAAAAACCTGAGGGAAATAGAGAACTAATTGTTTTCCAAATAATATGAATCATTGTGCAAAATGTTGAGACCTGGAGATGAATATACTGGCATTATTGTGTCTGTAAGCACTGCTCTTCATGTTTTGGTGTTTAATCCTCAGTCTTCAATTAGTGGCACATATAAAGCATTAGAAAACAGAGAGGAGGGACTCTCCATTTCATATAGTTCTGCTAAGTTCTTTTGTGCTATATGTGAAAATAGAAAAAAATATTTTTAGGCAAACCAGGCTTCATTATATAAGATCTTTTTGCTTCAGATCTATTTAAATTTACTTAAAAGAGCTCTTGTTTTACCAGCGATATATGGTGTGTAATGGCTCCTTATTTTTCTACTGTTCTACAAAAATGTTGATGCCAATTACAGCATAATTTGACAAAGCATTGAAGGTAGGGAGGGTTGATATGAGAAAGGACAGTGAGTCTTAGTACTGAAATGAGGATATCTGAAAAAAGAAACTGGGATGACATATTAGGCAATGAATGACACAGTCTTACACTATCTTGTGCAGATATGGGACAGTAAAAAAAGAAGAGGATTTTATCTTATAATGCTAGCTTTTCCATATTGGGTTTTAACTAAGTAAGAATATGGGCATGTCAGAGTACCTTTTGATGATTCTGACTCTCCATTTTATCCAAATACCTATACCTCCTCCATTCATGCTTCAGTTCACTGGAGGTGAATTGGGAAGCACACTTTTTTATTACTTAAGGAAAGATACTGCTTTTAGAGCTGAACAGCACTTTGGATATGAAGAGGAAAAAGATGGTTCAGAGCATGTAAAGACATTCATGTAATATCTGTTGTCAACTCTTTAAAGCAGCTATGATGTTTCTGGAATTATGCGATTGCCCTTCATAACTGCAGTGCAATCCTGGGAAAAGACACATCTATATACTACTAAAACTCTAATTGTGTTTATCTGCTTCTCTGTACCCTCAAGTTAGCCCAAACAGTGCATTATACCGCAACAATTTTTGAATCAAGATACCTAAAATCTGCTAACTTAAAGAACATGTACAAAATCTGGGACCCATTGCTCCTGTGGAATTGAAATTTCCACAATGTTCAGACCAGTTTTATTCACAAAGTTGTGGCCACTACAGTGTCCCTGCAGTCATGTGATTGTGATTTCTGACGCTCCCTGCCAGCTCCCACTGCTTTTTTGCCTGCCCATGGTCATTCTGTTTATCTGTTTAGATAAGTAAATATTGACTTATTGAAGTTTGTTTGCCACTACAAATATTTTTCTATTTATGGTATATACTTTTCTTAGATGACCTATCCAGCACTGGGATAAAAAACAAATGGTTGGCCTAAAATGTAATGTTCATTCCGGTCACATCAGACGCTGCTATCTTCCTCTCAGTGGATGACCCAATGGGTCACAGGGTTGTCTAGTTTAGTTTAAAGTGTTGTAAACAAGTGCTGTGTGCAGGCCTGTGCACACCCTAAAAGTTGTTTTTTTTCCCTTTGAATCTGAAATGCTTTACAGCCCTAATTACTTAGGGAGGAGCTGTCATGCTTAATGTTGGCTTTAACTATCTTGGAACCCAGATGAATCAGCTAATTTTTCAAAAAATACAGAATCAGTCTCCTTTTTATTAAATGCTCAAAATTAATTGATAAATTTATCAAGAAGTTGAAGCTAGATATCATGCAAGGTATTATGACTAAAATAGATTTATTTCTTACATTTCTCAGCTGAGCTTCTGTGATATATTCATTAAAATAAGACATACCAAATACTTGAATGTCTTTCCTGAACTGATTTGTACCTGGTCCCTCAGATTATAACACATTTATACTGTTCAATGAAGAAGAAAGATAGCTTACAATAACTGATAACACAGAATAAATGCTTTACAGTATATGCTTACAGCCGAGTCATACTTTCAGTCCTTTAGGCAACTGGATGAACTTTTTAACTGATGAAGCTTTAGAATTTTGCTACAAGGATCCAATAGTCAGGACTCTTTAAAGCTTTGTGAAAAGTTCACTGGTTGAAACTGCAAAAAAGGTGTTGCTAAATTTATTATCTGACCTGTGTGACAGTGAGTTAACAGAGTCCTGAGGTTTTAACATTGTCAGTACTACAGACTTTAGGTATATTACATTTTTTGGGTTGACAGAAGTAACATTTCCTACAACTGAATAACTACATAATAGGGAACAGTTTTAGCTACCTATCCAAATGCTAGGCTTTAGGATTTTAGTGTGTTTAAAGGAGCCTTTTAAAATAGTACACTTTTTCCCTGCTGCCTGAAGTGATCCTATCCACCTTTAGCAATGTGGGATTCGATTGCCAATATAGGCCAGGCCTACTTTTAATGCAAAAGAGTTTAAATAACCACATACAGTGGTAAGCAAGAAATGTTTTAAAACAGGCAGGTAAGCAAAAGCTTACTGACTTGGCTATTTTAGGATCTGAAATTATATAAACTGCTAACTAAATGGATAAACTAATTAGAGTGTTTTTTTACTAATAATTTGCTGACTTGTTTGAGATGATGGCTAAATTGTACTGCTAATTAGGAATGTGCAGTGCTTCAGATTCAGTTCCAGTAAGGTACTTTGGAATGAGCAGAAGCATTGAATAAAGGATTTATCTGCAATTCTTTAAAGCAGCTGCATCTTTCCTCTGCAACTTCACATGAGCCTAGATATGGTTGCTTTAAAGTATTGCAAATATGTATTTCATTCACATGCCTGTGCATTCTGAAGATTATCATTACAGGTATTCTTACAGTGTTCTGAAAAATGCAGAAATGGAAATAGAAAAGGTTGAAAAGCTGTAAGGAGAAAAAAAAATCTAAGCCTTAGGCTATATTTGTCACCAACACTGGAAAATTAAAATAGAGCAGTTACTTTTAAAGTAACATGGTGAAAATGTCATGCCTTCCTGCAAAGATAAAAAAGAGACTAGAACTGGTGCTCATCTGCAAACAAAGCTTTCCAATGTGTAAGCTGAGACTGCAGTTTCCCATAGATGATCTAGTACTGTGTGATTACAGTATAGCAGAGCCTGGCTGCACTGAGAAGAACAAGGCAAAGTACTGCAGATGTCAGAACTGTCATGCGACATAATGAGAACTGTGTGCCTGATTTCTAATTCATTAAAAATGAGTGGGGTACTTCATAGCCATCCAACTGAAGCCACAATGGTTTCTCAGGTGTCATAACATCACACAAATGATACAAATGACATCATTTTTATCAGTCTCAACATGTTACCGATAATGTGTAGTACATTATTTCTATCATCTATGTAATGTCTCCTGCACCCTCTGGCCCCCTGCCTGTGGAAACCTATAGGAGGACACTTTTAGGTGCACAGTGTCTGTCTGCATCCATTGTAGAAGAGGAAGCTGAAGCGTGAATTCAAAGTTTCAATTTGTATCCTCCAATTGCAACTTTTCATGGGAAAATATCTTGAACAGATCATAGTGTCATGTTAAAAACAAAGCAAGCGCTACTCAAAGTAAAGAGTTTGGAAAGTAATGCCCTAATATGAGCCAATGCACTAACAAAAATATTTGGGTCAGGTGTGACTGCTGTATCTACATCTGCTCTGATGCATGCCGCTGCAACAGGACATTGTGCCAATGCAGCAGTACGGATCAGCCACTTGCTTCCAATATGCTAAACCGGGTTTTATCACTGCACAAAACTAGTTCACAAAAGAAGTGGCTAAAGTGTATAAAGATAAGTTTAAAAGAAATTTTTTTTACACTGAACTTATTTTAAGCTATAGTGGCATTGCCCTTCCCTACAAGAGATAAGGTGAATTTATTTTTGTTTTGGCAGGATTGCAACAGATAAATAGATTAGCCCACACCTCCTTTATTGCCAAGAATAGGCTATTAAAGTAATTCTATACTAGAGCCTTCCTGTTGGCTTGGGGATGAAAGGCATTGTAGACCAAAACACCTGGAGGACACCTTGTTGGTGAAGGCTGCTGTATCCCATTGCAGTTGTGTACATCAGGGTTTTTCAAACTAGGCAACTAAGATGTGTGGACTTCAACTCCCGGAATTCCCCACCCAGCATGCTGGCTGGGGAATTCCGAGAGTTGAAGTCCACACGTCTTTAACTGCAAATTTGAAAAATACTGGTATATATCTATCACAGGTCTTTTTTGAAGGTGGTTGCTCCTTTCGGTAACCCAGTTTTCACTTTTAAAAAGAAGTGTAAATGCAAGAGGCACACTTTTGTGAGAAAGCTTGACAGCAAAAAAAGTATCCTGAATCCTGCTCTAGAGATACATTCCATTTATGAGGTAATCTGATTCCTCAGATGTAGTGGGCCGCGCTTTCTTTAGTTTCTGCCGGACTAACCGCAATCGGCAAGCGACCATGAGTAGCAGCAAAGCAGTGATGGCCAGCCCCAAAGCCAGTGGAAGCACAGCACCTAAAAAGAGAAGAAGCAGTATTTAAGAATGCAGTAAGTAAGCAGTCAGCACATAGATAAGACAGAAGCATCATATGATTAGCCAAATAAATAATTTACCAACAACAAAGCATCAGTCGCTTGCAAGACAACATCCATCTCTGGAACTGTCCTATCCAAACACACATAAAGCAGAGTACATAACCCCTGCCAACAACAAACCTAACTTCTCCAAAACTTCTGCAGTGATGATGTTACCCAAAAGAGTAATGAAATGTCTACAACCCAAAAAAACAAGCTAGAAGAACTCCCATTATGCAACTACTAGATGTCCCTATCACTTGATAATCACAGCGCTCTGGGTAGCTTGATAAATAGATAATAGCTGGCTAAAAGTTCAGATGGCTTTCCTCTACATTTCTTTGTAGTTACTCTTAGTAACCAAGATACAGTTGGTTTTGGGATGAATAAGGGCAAAACTGATTTGGGCAGCAAACTGGAAGAACAGGTTAAGCATGTTAGCACAGTAGGTCTAAAATGGGCATACACTTCCACTGGAGGTTCAGTGCTTATGTATTACTGTAGGTTTGGCCCATGCAAAAACTCCCAGGAGTCATTATTAGAAAAAAATAATCCTTTTTTTTTAAATGTTCAACTTATTCCTTCTTCCCACACAAAGATAATATGAGGGGAATGTACATACTATTTCATTTGTAAATTGCATTTGTTTGGGAAGAAGCTTCATGCTGTAGTCATCTGTAGCCCTGTCAGAGGGATACTGGGTGGGTTCACATATTGCATTCATGATGTATTTAAACTATGGTTGGTTGTGTTCAGCCAACTTCCCAAACCAGAACCACCTAAATTACTTCAACAAATAGAAGCTTAATAAGGGGAGATGAATATATTTGCTCTAACTGGGACATAATCACGGAGGTGGTATGATATGACATTCCAGCAATTCATGTTCAATGGATGATACATTTTGCTTTGTTGAGATTCACTTTCATATATTTCTGTGTCTTAGTGACACAGACTAGATCAGTTGAAAAAGACAACCACTTCATTACCTGTTTCTGGGACTGGATGGCTCTTTTCAATCTGAGTGCTCTTCAACACCACAATATCATTGTCATTCTTGTTATCTGTGTCTTTCCCTGAGATTCTGGATTCTGTAAAAACAAAACAATATATTGTTGGTATATATCTCAGTAGCATATAGATAAATTGCATCACAACATTCTACAGTGCTTCAAGAACTATGACTCACACTAGATAATAAAACTAGTTTCCTTACAGCTTGTGAAGAAACATCTTTATTTGTGAACTATAATATTTGCACTCTGAGACCCCCTTCTGAATGACATAACTAAATGGTCCTGTTTGCATGACCCAGTTAACTGAATCATGGTGGGGACAGGGAGTAAACATGTTTTGTGAACACTCTAAGCCATATAAATAATGCATTTAACTAACTTGTCTTGTTTGTCCCTCCATGTGATCTGAATTATTTATTGAGAAGTTACTTGATGCTCACTTCTGAGACCAAGAGGTCATTCTAAAGAAAGAATGAAAACGGCAGAGAGGGTTCAGAGTGATGTAAGACCCTCCACCTGAGTGTCTGTTGTGGTAGTAGCCCTGATCATACCATTTTTTAAATAAAACCTTTTCCTCCAGAAAGGGGGGGGGAGTGTAAAAGAACTGATAAGGTGTGATGTGGCAACAGCAGTTGAAAGGAATTAAAAAACGGACCCTGGGACCTTAGAGTAAGTGCTGCCAACGCATAAAGGTGAGGCAATTAACAGGGGAAGAGATAGCTGGTTGTTCTTGAGAACACAGCCGCAAAAGCAGAGACTTAGTTTTACTAGATGCAGTTGAACCATATGCTAAGTTTGTTTAGGTACTGTTTACTAAATAAGCCAGAATTGGCACATTAAGCCCTAAAGTAATGAAACCATATTATAATTTAACAAGCCCAAACTAGCCCAAAGCAACTGTCTTAACTACCACTTTTTTGGTAGGGAGGTTTCAAAGTGACACTTTAAAAATGAACAGAGTACAGTCCAATCTGGTTTAGTCAGTTAACTCAATCAATAAGCTTGGAGAGGTAGTTACACCTAAGAATGGCTTAAGGCTGTCTCATTCATGGGCTGGGGATGGCATGGAGGGTACAGCAGAACAAGCGAAAGCTATTTCCACAGGATGCTTGTACCGTGCTTATGTACAAGTGGGGGAAAGGCCCAAAGTATTCTTACCTTATTCTAGCTTACTGTTTAAAACATGCCATTTCCTTTAGTAAACAATTTATTTCATAAATCTTATTTAGCAGGGCAATGCACACAAATAATTTGGAAAAAGGGTTTGGGTTTCATGGAAGGCACCAGTCTGTTCTTCATTAAAACAGGCATGTCTTCTTCCAGCAGCCTGAAAAAAGACCTGAATCCTTTAATGGACCACAGAGGCATGCTATGCTCACACAAAGGTCCAAAGAACTTATTATGAACCAGTTCTGAAGCACGCACAGCAATATTATTATACACTACACAGTATAGTATACAGACTATTTAATAACTAGCATCCCCAAATCAATTAACTCTAGTAAAAAATGTGGAATAAAAGTGAATTCCAATGAAATCAATAGGATTCAATACAACAGTCATCGATAACATTTATTTTAATCGGACAAAACATAAACAAACTGCACCTAGCATTTTAGTGCACTTTAAAATGCACTAGTTATTTTTTACATAGATAATGGAGAGCCTTCCTATTTATATTTGAACAAGAGCAAAACACTTTCAATAACAGGGTTCCTTCAATTCACTGTCAGTTAATATGGTTCCTTCAGGAAAAAAAATGTACAAAAAAAGAATAATAATGAAAGTATCCTGTTTAATTTCTTATTCCACATTTTAAAAAAACTGGCACTTATCATGTGCCCTCTACTTGCATCTTGTTGGGCTCACTAGGCAGGTAATAAAAAGTGTTCCAGACTGTTTGGACCTCTAATCATTGTTTTTCTCAATCTCAGCAACTTTAAGTTGTGCTTTAAAAATGTAAATTGCAGGTTTTGTAAAAAAAAAAAAAAGGGGAGGAAGGGGAAGGGTGAAAATTTACAAGATCTTGTCTTTTTCCTGTTTTCATGTATGCCAGTAGGAGAAAATCCATTCCTAAATGGGCAAGTTATAGTCACACTGTTTTTGCTATTGTTGCCAGAATTTTTGCTGGGGACCAAAACATTGTGACACTGCAATGGAGAATAGGTTTCTAGAGCCAATGATTGTAGATTTACAACCGTGTAGATCGCTATGATAAACGGCAGCAACTTTATGAACAATAAGCATTACTGCTGACTGCTCTACAAATTCTTTTTCCCTTCTTAGAATTTGGAGAGGCTGCTGATAATTGTTCACCTTAAACTTTCCAATAAATAACAGTAAATGACAAATCTCCAAAGACTGATATGGCCATTTTCAAACCAATAATGGAAAATCGTAAATTTCAGAAGTGGGAGAACACTGTCAATTACCAAGCCCACTTAGGTAGGGTACCAGAAAAAAAATCAGTATCTGATGCCATTCCAATATTAACATGCCAGGCAAATCTATCCATTTCTATCAGAAATAAGCTGCATTTTAGCAGACTGCAGAGAAATAATTATTTTCTTGGCTTCCATATCAAATCTCTCTCCCTCAATGGAAGGACTGTTAAAATGTAGTTGGGATTCCAGTGGGATTCCAGAGCAACAGTGTCTTGCTATTTTATGTTGTGCCACTTCCCTACCCCAAAAAGTAACTGATTATTACCATGAACTTTTACACATTCAGCAAGACAGTCAGATTCTTGGAGAAAGTTGTTTTCATTGCCTTTGCAACCACCATAGATGAAATGCATGCAAGTGCCTGAAAAAGCATCAAAATGCCAGCGAGGGAGATGTCTGTTGCATGAGCCAGTGGCTGGGGGGAGCAAGCATTGCTCTGTAATTATAAGAGGAAAAATAAGCTAACTGTAAATCCTTGTAATTATTTTTAACATATGAAAATAAGACAGCAATTAGGTTTTCTAATATATCTGGAATACATTACTGTAATTTAAACAAGGACTATAACAGAATGACAGAGTCTCCTCTCTGCCCCTTTTGTTGACCTGAAAAGAATCTTTCCAGCCACAGTTCCCAAAGTACACCCATCTGTAGATGTTGCTTTTTCTTCCCCCTGACTGTAACAGAAGCAAACAACTGGAACTGTACAGCTATTTCTACCCACTCTACTATTCCTCATGTTGAAGAAGTTGGCTTCCCTATATAAGGCATCCATGCCTTGCATGTTCCAGTCATATATTCCAGTCATGTGAACAAGTTGCCATCACCCCCTGGAAGCAAGGTGGGAAGAGAGAGTTGATGGCAACTTGTTCCTAAGTAGTCTAATGACAGAATGCCCCAGGTGGTTCTCCCTTGAGAGAAGGGAAGTCTGAATGCATGATCAATCATTATGTGCCATTACAATTCCATAATAGTTCAACTTCTTCAACAGGATCTGGTTGGTTTTTGCTTTAATATGCAATAGGACTTCTGCTGCTCCTGCAACTTTGATTAAAACTGCTTTTTTCTAATTGAGAAACACAATCTACTTTCAAAGATAGCAAGCTATAGAGATTATTGGTTCCATCCAAGAGGTAGGATACTACTAGCGAAAATAAAGCATCTCATTTTCATAAATTCCCTTTGCCTTCTGCAGTCTCCCATGCAATATTGTTCAATGTTCTAATCTTCAGGAGCAGCTTTGCAGGGACGAAGAGGCTGTAATGAATAAGAGGGATTGCCAAAAACTGGATATTCCACATATGCACATGAAAGTGCTCTCTGATACTACAAGAATGCCACAAAATAGCCCTACATTTTTTTTAAAGTCTGTGGAAAATAAATAGGGGAAGATATTGCACTAATTCACTGGTGTTTTTGAGGTACATATATAAATTATGATCTATCTTCTGCCCATACCTGGCCATCCTTGATCCTATATATGAGTATTACTCATCAAAGTGTAAAAATCTTATGTCCAGCTAAAGCTGTAGCTGAACTAACTGCATTTATTTATTTAACAGATCTATATAGCTACCCAAGGAACTATTGTGAAAATTAAAACATACAAAAATTTTGAGGGCCAGCTTATCCAAGGGTGGCATGTTTTTAATGGTATTTTGGTTAAAAATTTGAGGGTCAGCTTATCTGCGGATGGGCTTATATGTGAATATATGTGATAATTCTACATTTGAAATTTAACCTTCCAGGTAAACCTATTTACTAATATGGAAGCGTACTGAAGACTGTAATGGTATTTTGCCAATTTATAGGACTATAGAAACAACAATTTATTCAAAATATATCATATTGTTAATCTTACCTGGCATAAACCCTGTAGTTTGTTTCTTTGGTCCCTGAGAGGGTGATTGTTTCAATTTCTCTGGTTCAAGTGCTTGACTGCTTAGTGTACTTGTCTGGGTGATTTCAAATGTAAGTTCTTTGTTGGCTTCTTTCATTAACTCAACTGAATTTTGTTGAATAGTATCTGTGTGAGTTATTGCATTCTGTCCTGAATTATCTGAGTATAAAAAGAAAACATAAGAACATAAGAATAATCCAGCTGGATCAGGCCAAGGCGCAATTTAAATCAATATTTAGATTCTCATAGCGATCAACCAGGTGCTGCCGAGGTGCTCAGAAACTGGGATGGAGATACACACCTTTCTTGCCATTGTTTTCCTGCAACTGATACCTGGAAGCATTAGAAGCACTAGAAGCAACAATGGGTCTTCAAACATTTGACAGAACTGTCCATACATTTATCCAATCCCCTTTAAGGGGATTAGATGGATAGCTTTCTGAATCTCTTTGCTTCCTTCTAGTGCTTTCCAGAGTTTTGCAGACCAGATATGGTTAAGTGTTTCAAGCAGCTGTATACGTGCAGGAGAGGGTCTATTGAAGGAGGGGACATGGAATTTTATTTTCTAGTAGAGTGGTGATCTTTCCTCAAAAATAGTGATGTCTTTTTTGTTTTAGTTGCTTATTTGAAGGCAGACCACTCACCTTCATAGAAACCCATGAAAATGTTCCTTCAGCTATAGATATGGAAGCTGAAAAGGTAGGCAAGATTGAGGTAGGAAGCTAATCTTCTCAAATGGAAATTACTGTATAGCATTTTGGCACTCCAGAATTCAGATGTGTGTGTGTGTGTGTGTGTGTGTATTAAAATTCTGTATGTAGACATATTAAACACCTCAGGAATTGTGCTGTTTTCCTAGGAGTATGTGGGCAAGGGGTGATGAGCAGCACTACTGATGTCAAAGCCATCTCCCCACCCCATTTATGGGACACGTGTACCTTTAGAGAGTTGTACTTTTCTTCTAGCTTCTTCTCTTAAACTGATCCTCATGGACAGAAAGAATGGATGAAAGGGAGATAAAAGAGTGGTTGGGGACTACAAGAATATGTTGTCTGAATCCCTTGTGAAATTACCACAGGTTGCCAGAATAAATCATGCACATTAAATGTTCTGTCTGAGTGGCATAAGTAGAGCTCTCTGCGCCCCAAGACAAACATTTCCAGGGGCTCCCTGAATGCTGAGACATCTCAGGCACCAAGCCATCCCCAAGCTGGGACAATTGAAGGTGGGTGGGAGAAGGTAAAGGAAGGTCATATGCCTGCTTCCATCTTGCGAGGGGCTGCTTCTCCTCCTCACTCACCCAAAGTATGCCTTCATCCCTTCCTGCTCAAAATTCACCCAGTCCACACACCTGCCACAAGATTTTTCTCTCACAGGCATATAATGCCTAGATCTAACCAAACACTAGAGGACAGCAAAGTGGTACCAAAAACACCAGCTCTTTGCTGGCGTCTACTGGCCAATTGGAATTTTGCAGCCCAGGTATGGTAGCTATATGCCATTGTGCCAATTAGCCTTGTGGAAAGCATGGGCAAGGAGAGAACCACAAGGGGGACCAGGTGAGGGCTCCTATGCTTGTGGGACCTAAGGCAACTGCCTTCCCTCTGTTTAAGCCACTGGTGTGTCTAGAAGCACTCAGTGCTGAAATTAATGTGCAAATGTTAGCATAAGAAAAGGAATCATTGCTGACCTGGGCATTTGTCTCCATCTGCAAAATATATCTTTTGTTTTGTTTTCAAGTATTAAAAGGTACTGCTAGTCTATATGCAACCAATGGAATGACTGTCTGCTTGCTTTTCCTGGAAAAGAACTAAGAGGGCATTGCGACTAGATGGAGCTTTCTGGCAACTTCAGAGGTATGCAAAATGTTTGACTATGGATCCAAACCATGCCTGTGCAACAGTCTCAAATGTGATGGCTCTTTAGCCTTTCCTTCACCCTTAAGCCTCAAATGAAGGGTTCCAGACCTACGTGCCTTCACTTATCATTGAGCTAATGTGTGTGTGTGTGTGTGTTTTTAATGCTTAAATGGACAGGTTCTGTTCACTCACATTTCTGACAAAAAGCTTCATCCGACCCATCAGGACAGTGATTCTCCCCATCACAGGCGTACGTGATATCAATGCAGCAGCCATCGTCACAGAGGAACTGGTAACGCGAACACTTCCCAACACAACCTGCAATAGGCCAATTCTCAGGTTAGAAGACAAAGTAAACTGTAAAATATAAGAAGCAGTTGTTTAAAATGGATATTGCAGCAATGGGAGCCCTCCTGTTATGCCTCCTTTCATCCCTGTCCTTCATAAAAGACAGTATGATTATTTTAGGTAACAATAAAGCAAAACCATTCAACACATGTTATCTCTGGGTAAGAAGAAAGAAGCAAACAACCAGTTAAAACCAAATTCTGCCCTCTATAAAAATTCAGCATACACAGTACATGATCTGTATTCTACCTGCGGAGCTGAAGTGGGATGCTGTTTATAATTGTTTATAATTGTTGCATTTTATATGATCTCTATGGCCTTTATTTGTGTATTGGATTTATATCCTGCCTTTTGTTTCAGAGTTCAAAGCAGTGTATGTAGCTCTCCCTCCTCCTCCTATTTTCCCCTACACATTGTATATATGTCTCCTGCAGAACTACATCTATTTCACAAAGTGATTTTGTGAAGTCTGGAGACGTTATAAATACTTATCAATAGAGATTACACTCATTCCTCATTTAGCAGCTATCTCAGTTAGTGACTATTTGCAAACACGACAGTAATAAATGGTAATAAAAAATTCATTTGTCAACCAATCTGTCCTTTTATGACCAAATTTTGTGCACCTGACAGCAACGCGTGCCAGAGTGAGAGTAACACTGGCATAGCTGTACAAGAGAACTATCTGACTGAGATGGCAGCAGCCAGTGATCTTTGCAATCTCTCTCTCTCTTTCATTCTCTCTCTCTCATTCATGTGTTCACTTAGCGGCCATTTCATTTCACTTAACAACCTGGTTGTTGGAATGGAACTCAGTCACTAAATGAGAAATGGGTGTATATGTAGCTCAGGGTTGAATGTTTGGGTTCTTGGTGTTCTCTGAGCTTGGTTTTCTTCTTGCAAATATTTCATTACCAGGCTAGGTAACACCATTAGTGCTCAGATCTGGGGAAGTGAGCTTTGTTGTCTGTTTAGACGTACCAGTTTGACCTACCAGCCTTGTTGGATTTGATGATTACCGGTATTGTTTCTTCTTTTGTTAGTGCTTATAGTGATGATTAGATGCTGGTTCCTCCTTATCTGGGTGCTGGTATGTTGATAAGGGAGGAACCAGCATCTAATCTAAGGGAGGATGTGTTCAGCATTGTTTGCCCCTTTCTTGGGTCTTTGCTATTCCTTTTCAATGCTTCGTAAATGTAAATGTAAATGTAAATGTAAATGTAAATGTAAATGTAAATGAATAAATAAATAAATGGGAGACAGGGGTCAGAAGAGCACGGAAACTTCCCAGCAATGGTTGCTATGGTGATTAGAATGTTGGGAAGAATTTCAGCTAAGCTGGAGAGGCTGTAAAACCCTGGGAGGGAAAGAAAGAAAAATGGAGTGAAGTCAAGGAGGGAAAAGCAATGAGCGAGGCCCACGGTGCAACAATGGAGTCTTTCTCCAAAGACTGGGGCTGGTGGAGACAGGAGGGCTGCAAGGAGGAGAAGGGAGATGCAGCATCTGCAGTGCAGAGAGGCTGTGGTATCCTCTGGTCTTGGCACCTTGTGAATCGTGATTCCTGAATCTGGTCCCTAACTTCTGGTTCTGACCATGATTGTAGATGAGATGGTTGCTACTGGAACTGGCAATACTCTTCTGAGGTTCAGAAATAGGTGGCGAGAGCCTGTCAGCCTTTGAGGTAGCCCAGCCAAGAAACCAATACCATGAGTACCAACACTACCATTATTGTAAGGTTATAGTAACAGACTCTTGCAAGTCTGAAAAGCACATCTCTCGCCCCTTGCCTTTACTTTCCAGGGAACTTGGGAGGGTCCCTTCTGAAGTGCCTTCCATGCCCCCTTCCTTCTGTGGGCTGAGATGTCTCCTATCTGAACGTTGCCCTGGCTGCAGCTCTTCCTCCTCCTGTCTCTCAGGGGGGTTCCCCCGGACCATTACAGAGCCAGTGCATGTAATTGCTAAGGTGTTGTTGGACTAGGAGCAGCCAGGCCCACGTTCAAGTCCACCCTGAGCCATGGTTGCTGACTAGGTGACTTTGGCCAGTTCCATTGCTGGCTCCCAATCTACCTCACAGGGTTGCCATGGTGGGGGGAAAAATGGAGGGCCATGTATGCCATCTTGAGTTCTCCAGGAGCTCATTTAAAATGGGATTTAAATGTAGTAATTTAAAATGGGATTTAAATTACTAATAAACTTGGCATACAGGCAGCCAGAATCAGTGGTGGAACAAATGCTTTGTGTATTTGTTATTTTTGTTTTCTGTTTGTATGTTGTGCCCAGGTGTCATCTTGTTTTTGGTTGGTATTGATTTTCATGTTACTGTTTGTGAGCCAGCCAGAGTCAGTTGGAGTAACACCATATGGGGCTCACCCCACCAAGATGATGAGAGTGACTGCACATTATGTAATAAGGAATGAAGCACTCTTGGTATTGTATATTGAAAGAAAGCTACTTCTTTATCAGATAAAGTTGCTTAAACACGTTGGCCTCAATTTCAAGCTCTCTTCCCAGGTTATAGATTGGATCATAGTATGGTGGGTGCCACACATATTGGCAAAATTATATCTTACAGACCACACCTGTATTACAGTTTACCAGCATGCATGGAATAGCGTGCCAGGAAGACAGCCAGATGAGAAAGAGGGCAGGGCTTTTGCATTTTTGTAGAACAGTGTTTTTCAACCTTGGCCACTTTAAGATGTGTGGCCTTCAACTTCCAGAATTCCCCAGCCAGCATGCTAGCTGGGGTATTCTGGGAGTTGAAGGCCACACATCTCAAAGTTGCCAAGGTTGAAAAACACTGGTGTAGAAGGAAATGTGGTGGATATTGTATATCATGCAAATTACTTCTTTAATGTGGATTAAAGGACAGGACCCATACTCTATTTGCAGTGTATTTAAAGCACATCCAGTTGTGATTTTGAATATAGCCATACACAATCTCACTCCCATCTATATCACAAAACAACAAAATGGTTCTCCCAGCAGTTTTCTCACCTAACTCAGAATGAACCATTGGAAGTACTGTCACTGAGACGTTATCCGAACTTCTTTGGCCAGCTGTGTCAGTCACAGTCAGCTGCAATGTGTATTTTCCTTCTTGCATATGAGAGAGCTTCAGTGTTCCTGGCTGTGGTACCTGAGCCAAAGAAAGTAGAATATTAATGGAATCTCATCCCTCATACTATAGCTTCCAAGTTGTAACTCTCATAAAATTGTGTGAGAAATGAGATGCACACACACTTTATCATGCACATGGGTGAGCGTAAATGTAAACTTGTTAATACAGCATCATGCTTTTTTACCCCCTACCTAGGTTGCCTGAGTGCAGGTAGAGCAAATCCAAAAAAGTCTGGTCTTTGTTGGTAAAATGGATGCTGGAAACAGGAACAGTGCTAATTTGTAAGTCTCCCACACTGCACCATATTGGTTCAATGCTCTCTTAGAATTCAGGATGGGTGTAGCGAAAAATGCAGATTGAGAAAATAAACATTTCAGTACAGTGCTATCATAAAGGAGTAAAGCGCTTGAAATTTTGCAGGATTATAGTCATGTTGTTATTTTTAAAAGCTCTCTACTGATCTCAATATATTACGAGGAAATGTATTCTTATTTTTTGTATTTGTGAAGATAATAAGTACAGTCAACATCTACTTAGAAAGGGCAGCATCAGCCTGATTAACATCTCAGTGAATGAGGCAACCATCTCAAGTGACAGAGACCAGGAGGTTGCTCTTTCAAGCCCCCCAGACATTTTCACAATGAAGCACACAGCAAACCAGACAGCCCGCACTCAGGTATGATGGAGGCTCCTAGCTGGTTATCTGTGTTGAAATAAGTTTCACTTGCCACTCTTGTCAACTACTGTGCGCTCAAGGGAAGGAGTGTCATTTTGTTGTTGGCTCAGAAAGCAAAGGATGGCCCTCACTTAAGTTATCATCCTCACAAAAGAAGAAAATATGGAGTTTGTGTGTTTGTGTGTATACACAGGGTACACATGAGCGGATGGGAATCCCATGAAACAGGACTCCATATAATCTGGCATACACACAGCTCATGTTTGGCACAGAGGAGCCATTCCTTCACAGCACAGATTTTATCACCAGCACCAATCAGATACTATTCTGTTGCTTCCAGAATTTTTTAGATCTGGGAATTCGATATGGCTTACAATGCAAGCTTTGTGTATGCAATCCACATATGCTTATGATTTGACTAAACAAATCTTCCTATTCTGAAGATCCCCACATCCATCATCCCTTGTCACTAGTAGTAACTTCCACTATGTTCAGTGGGCATGCATAAAACGGAAGTATTAGAACCTTACAACCTTGTCTGGCTGCATGTGGAGAGGAGTGTCCTGTTATAGCTACTGGGAGAGAAAGAGCAGGGAAGTCTTTGCAGGCTTAATGTAGGAAAAACAAGTTTTACTAAAAAAGATTATTTCAGAAAGAAGGGCATTGTTTTCCTTCATGCTATAAGCAGATCACAAAACAATGTTGCTGCTTCTACAGGGGATGGATCTATTCTGTAAGTTTCAAAGAGCAGGCAGCAGCCATAGCTCAGAGGGCCTTTGTACAGCTCCAGTTGTGTCCACTTTGGATCAGGAAGTCCTGTTCACAATCATTCATGCCTTGATCACCTCATGATTGGATTGTATGTGGGGCTGCCCTTGAAGACCACTTGGAAGCTGCATCTGGTCCAGAATACATTGTTGCAGGTAGTTATGGGTGTATGTCAGTATGCCCACATAATACCTCTACTTTGTGAGCTGCACTGGTTACAGTGTGTTTTGGGGCACAAATCAAGATGCTGGTTCTCACCTATAAAACCCTTCATGGTACAGGGCCATGTTATTGGTAGGGCTGTTATCTCTGATCACTTCTGCCGGTCCAGTAAGATCTGATGGTCTTGGCATGCCTGTCACTTAGTCATTGTCATCTGGTGGGACCTAGAGGACATGCCTTCTTTGTTGCCACCCTTGGCCTTTGGAACAGCATCCCCCTACGATTTGGTTGGCCCTGACCCTGCCTGCCTTTCAAAAACATTACAGACCTGGCTCTTTCCCCAGGTACTGGTTCAGGTATGTTCCCATTGGCTGAACCTTTTCCAAGCGTTTTATGTCCTGTTGGGTTTCTGATTATTTGTTCATTGTGTTGCTTTTATACGCACTCAATTATGAGTTGTTTACTGATGATATATGCCACTGAATCATGTGCTGAGAGGGTGGCTATGTAAGTCAAATAAATAAATAAATAAATAAATAAATAAATAAATAAATAAATAAATAAATAAA